TATCTATCTATCTATCTATCTATCTATCTATCTATCTATCTATCTATCTATCTATCTATCTATCTATCTATCTATCTATCTATCTATCTATCTATCTATCTATCTATCTATCTATCTATCTATCTATCATGAGTGATGGCGAGAATATATTAATTGAAATGAAACCTTGATTCTTTGACCACTTTTAGTGAATTGACAGGATGGAACGGGGTTTTTTTAACATATCGGGTTGTGAGTTGGACGCCTCTCATCGTATTTCCGTTCAAACGCATCAAAAACCCCGACGCGTGCATGTCGATTCCACACAGAGCTGGCGTTTACGAGGCGAGCGTGAACGCAGCACGCACTCCACCGGCTTTTTTTGGTGATCGCAGGTGTGTGGAGGTAGAGTTCCGCGGCATTTGGGAGCGCGCACGGACGATGACCCAGTTCCCCGGAGGCCTGCGCACCGTGAACCGAGTTTCTGCTCCTTCCTCGCGCTTTCCCCCGCGTGCAAAACCGATTTTTTCCCAAAGATGAGCACTCTGATGGCGTGTAAAGAACCTTTTGGTAAGCAGCCTCCATCCATCCCTCAGCATCTAAACACTTTCCATCAACCTCTGGTCCGGGTTCTTTTTTTGTCTCCTTATCTGGATGTATTTGTTTAATTTGTATTTTTATCTTAGAGATACTTTTTATCTGTCGAAATGAAGTAGATTTCCGTTCGGAGTTGTGAAGTGGTATTTGGTTAACCGCAAAGTTTCCACCAGGTAAAAAAAAAAAAAAACTCCTGAAATCCTCCGTGAGATAAGTGGAACAGTGGGTTTTTTTTCCGACGAATCACCAACCGTCAGCCCTCCTGGCCAAAGTTTGACTCAGAATTAGACTTTTTTTTGTCCCTTTGAGATGGATCTGATTAACAAAGAGCAGCGCTTTGCCACGTTGGGTTTTCCTGGAAAGCGCACTGGTTTATCTGCCCTAAATCTGTCTTTTTTAGAGGCCCTGGTAGTTGTAATTCAAGAAATAACTTTATTGTGTGTTATTTAAGGCTTTCCAAGCACTGAGACCCAGATTGGTCAGTAGGTCCCCGCTCCTTTCTGTGGTCAGATCCTTTTTCTAAAGTAAGTAAGTGGCTTTTTGGATCTGTAACCAACAGGACTTTTCATTTACAGGAAAGTCCTCATTGGTAAGGGGATTCTCCACGGTGTTTCTTATGACAAAAGGTTTCCACTCATTTCCTAGGATGAGTATTTGAAGCAGTTCTGGCCCTCAGAGAACACCAAAATGGTCGTTTTTTGTTTTTTTTTCCCAGTTTCTGCCATTTTCTGTCTGTTAGATTTTTTACCGTGCATCATTTCTGGACATATGTAATTCTGTATTATCTCCAGAACCTTTTGTGTGTGTGTGTGTGTGTGTGCACCTTTGGCCTCATCCCCATTGCTTCTGTGAGGTTCAGTTTTAGTTCTGTCTCCAATCACCAAATAACTTTCACAGCCCTCCTGTGTTTGGAACAGGATAATTAACATGTTTTATCACAGTTTAGGTTAATAGCTGTTTTTCTCTAGTCCAAGTATACCCTGTCGTTACCTTAACTAGAGCTACATTGTCATTTGGAGAAGCACATGTGGAAAATCTATAAGCAAAAAAAAAAAGAACTCTACTTTAATAATGGCTGAAAAGCACCCGATAAGTTCAATTTGATGTATTTACCAAACATAAGCCAGTTTTTGAGGATTGCTCCTAGTTTTAGGTGCACAAAAACACCCGTGGTTGACTTAAAACCAATAAAGAAAGTGTAGCAGCTTTAGCTGGAACTTGGTTTGGTGACAATGACGCGTTTGTTTCTTTGTAGTGCTAATAATAGATCATGGTCGAGGGAGGTGTTGATGCTGGATGACGTCATCCGTTCTAGTCTTTAGACTTTATTTGGCTCGAAAACACAATGCTTCGTGGTCATCGAATTAGCTGCAGCACGCCGATTGGTTTTCGATCAATGGGACTTTTTTTCTTTAAGAATGAAGGAAAAAAGTGATGGATGGGTCAGAAAACCTTCTAACTGATAGTTAGCCTGGGTCTGGACCAGGTCTGGACCAGGTCTGGCCCCTGAGGTCTGATGTGGGTGCCGTTTCATCTGGTGAACTTCATCCCGAGCGTGTAGTTGCACGCTCTGGCATTCCCAGGCGGGGAGAAACAATGCTCCACTGATCTGGGACTCAGCTCGCGTTTGATAACCGGGAACACCAAGGCCGCAGCGTTACGCTCAGATTTAGTGGCTTTTTAAAAAAATGTTTCCTCTTACAGTGTGTCAAGAAGTGTGGATCTTGGAGGCAGGACTCAGTCGCGGAGATATGGAAACAAGGGTTTATTTGAACAAAAAACACACTCAAAAGGAGCGGATGGTAGACATGGGACAAAACAAGGCTGTGAAAAAAAACTATGAACAAAGTAACAAAGCAAGATTAACATGACTGTGAAAAAAACATGGCTGTGAAAAAACTATGAACAAAGTAACAAAGCAAGATTACATGACTGTGAAAAAACAAGGCTGTGAAAAAACTATGAACAAAGTAACAAAGCAAGATTACATGACTGTGAAAAAACTATGAACAAAGTAACAAAGCAAGATTACATGACTGTGAAAAAACAAGGCTGTGAAAAAACTATGAACAAAGTAACAAAGCAAGATTAACATGACTGTGAAAAAACATGGCTGTGACAAAAAACATGGCTGTGACAAAAACATGAACAAAGTATCAAATAAGGTAAACAAGGCTGTGGCAAAAACATGGCTATGGTACAAAAAAACAAGACTATGGCAATAAAGTAAACTAGGCTGAAAAAACATGGCTGGGAAAAAAACATGAACAAAGTATCAAATAAGCCAAGGTAAACAAGGCTGTGGCAAAAACATGGCTATGGTACAAAAACAAGATTATGGCAATAAAGTAAACTAGGCTGTGACAAAATCAAACCTGACGTGGGGTGACGAAAACAGAAAGACGAAAACGCACTGGCACAGGACATGGGAAACGATGACTATTTGAACACATGAGGGAGGGGAACCCCAGGTGAACACAATAGGTAATCAAGAAATGACTAGACACCAGACATTCCCCCAGACGTGACACAGTGACTCCTAATCAACCCCCCAATGTGGTATTTCTGCTTTAAAAGCATGTATTCGCCTTTCAATGGTGGGCTTTCTGGGACCTGTCCTGGTAGAGGGATGCCTGGATTTCTCTTCCAAACCGGTTGATAAAACAAAAGATTGGATGGGCTTTTAGTCCCTGTCTTAAACCTCTACAGTTTTAAACTGAAAGTGTCTGCGCATACACACACAAATGAAGGGCTGCTGTTTTTACATCATAACTCCATAACACCAGTCTCGGGCTATTGTAAAAGCAAAATATACAACAAGCAATGTTCCAGGCTTTGGGAAATAGAGAACATTTTAAATAAAATTGAAAAAAGCTGGCTAAGGGTCCACTTGACAAGATAACCCAAACAAAATGGCCAGATTTGCCTAAAATTGTATTGAAAAAATATAGGAAACGTCAGTTGGAGCCCCTTTGAATGCTAGTTTCAGTTTGAAAGCAGCAGGATTTGACTGATTGGACGCGGGGCAGTGGCCACAGGAAAGGGGAAACGCCTCGACATGCACGTGGGAGTAAGGTAGAACCGATTCCAATCTAAACCCGGACCTGAGCCCTGCTTTAAAGGCCAGTTGTGTCGCATTTATTGGTCCAAAGGGAAAGCAGACACTCTGGGACGAGGACAGCTTCGTGTTGGAAACGGCTAGTTCAGCCTATCCCGGTCAAGCTGAAATTTGTGTCCTGGTGGGCTGTAATCTAAGAAAGGCCAGAGCTGGTGTGTGTCTGGAGGCCTTTGGACACAATGGCTGCACAGTGAACCCCGTCCAGGCTTCTCCTGGAGCTGAAAAAAAGCCGTCTTTGTGCTTTCTCAGAGCCATCCGTGAACGTTGGTGTTTAAAAAAAAAGCCTCTTAAAGGTCTGGTGTGGTGGTTTTGGGGTTTGGACCAGGCCAGGCTTGTGGGGAATCTGATTTTATCAATCAATCAATCAATCAATGTTTATCTATATAGCACTTTACAACAACCGGAGCTAACCAAAGTTCTTTACACAATAAAAACAGATCAAACTATCGAAATACACAAAGACAAACACATTGGTGACAGAACCCAGTATACAGAGATTTGACGTGCAAAAAGCCATCCTGAACAAATACGTTTTAAGTTGAGCTTTGAACAGTGGCAGGTCAGTAGATGAACGTAACTCAGTGGGCAGAGAGTTCCACAGTTTAGGACCCTGACGTCTCTGTGGGTTCGGGTTCCACTTCCCACAGCGGGGCTCTGCTCCTGGGCTGATAGGAAGTGGTTTTCCTCTGCCCCCCGCCGGTGGGCGCTTTGACATTTAGGACGCTCGTCAAACCGGTAGCAGGCCCGGCTCTTTTTCTTTGCTTTTTTTCTTGTCCTGTTCAGCATCGTGGCAAGTAGAATGAATTTCTGACTGCCATAGTTTTGCCAAACATTTACTGTTAGTAGCCTGGGCCTGGGTCTAGGGCCTGGATCTGGGCCTGGTTGGGCCTGGTTCTGGATCTGGGGCCTGGATCTGGGGCCTGGGCCTGGTGGGTCCTAGATCTAGGCCCTTAGCCCCAGATCTGGACCTGGGCCTGGTAATGGGCCTGGATCTAGGGCCTTGGCCCCACATCTGGGCCTGGGGCCTGAGGCCTGGATCTAGGGCCGGGGACCAAGATCTGGGCCTGTATCTGGGGCCTGGTCCCGGACCTGGTCGGGCCTGGGCCTGGATCTGGGGCCTGGATCTGGGCCTATGATCTAGGACCTAGGCCTGGTCCTGGGCCTGGATCTGGGGCCTGGATTTGGGGCCTGGGCCTGGATCTGGGTCTGGGGCCTGGATCTGGGCCTGGGCCCCAGATCTGGATCTGGGCCTGGTGGGGCCTGGATCTGGGGCCTGGATCTGGATCTAGGGCCTGGGCCCCAGATCTGGGCCTATGATGTAGGACCTAGGCCTGGTCCTGGGCCTTTATCTGTGGCCTTGGCCTTGATCTGGGGCCTGGTCCTGGTCCTGGATCTAGGGCCTGAGCCTGGGGCCTGGCGCCAGAAAAGACAGATTGGGACTTCTTTTAATTTCCTCTAAACCATGTTCATACTATTCTAATGTAGCTGGTTGAAAACATGGCCGCCCCATGGTAAAAATCAGTGTCAGTGGAGGAAACCAAATGACCAACGCCGTGGGGGAAGTGTTACCCTGGTAACAAGGGAGGCCTTCTATTGGTAAAGCCTTGCTTGCTGCCCAACCCTTGAGGATTTCTTTATTGTTGGTGTGTTATGTACTTCAATTCAATTTTCAATTCAATTTTATTTCTATAGCGCCACATTACAACAACAGTTGTAATTACAGAAACCCAACAATTCCCACCATGAGCAAGCACTAGGCGACACAGGCAAGGAACAACTTCCTTTTAACAGGCAGAAACCTGGAGCTCTACTTAAAACGTATTTGTTCAGGATGGCTTTTTGCACGTAAAATCTCTGTATACTGGGTTCTGTCACCAATGTGTTTGTCTTTGTATATTTCGATAGTTTGATTTGTTTTTATTCTGTAAAGCACTTTGGTCCGCTCCGGTTGTTGTAAAGTGCTATATAAATAAACATTGATTGATTGATTGATACTCTGAAGTTAATTACAGAAACCCAACAATTCCCACCATGAGCAAGCACTAGGCGACACAGGCAAGGAAAAACTTCCTTTTAACAGGCAGAAACCTGGAGCAGAACCATGGCTCAGGGTGGGCGGCCATCTTTTTCTTGATGGCCAACGGGACTTATCCCAGTACGAGTTTTCCCTAACGCTGCCCCTCTCTGTGTTTGCTGACCAGCTCGAAGCGGCTCGGAGCCGGTGGAGGACATGGACACCACCAGCTTCATGGCAGAGTTTGTAAGAGAGCCTCATTCACCTTTGCTGTCTTATCCCGCCCAGTTTGTGTGTGTTCTGGTTTTTCTTTGTAGTTCATTAGAAAGTCTCGGAGTGTAGCGTAATGCGCTCAGACATGCTCCAAACGGCCTGGTCGCCGAGCAAGTTGCGGCAAGCTGCGCCTCAATTTTCTTCTTCGGTTGCAGACTCCAGCTGAAGGCATCAAACAAAGCACACAGGCGTTTTTTTTGTTGTTTTTTTTTGGTCTCTTTTTCAGGGTTCTTCATTTCAGGTCGTTAAAAAACGATGTTTGCTTTTGTCTCTCCCACAGTCCCTGGAGGCCAATTATCCGGTTCAAGTCACAGATCCTCACGGTAAAGGGGTCCTCCCACTCGGTGGGAGCTTTGTGTCCGTGTCAACACTGCTTTGTTTGTTTTTGTGGGTTCTTTTTTAGTGCAACGGGACGCTAACGTGTAGCAGAGGTGTGGTGGATAAAAGGCCTTTTCCAGTAGATTCAATAGTGTCAAAGTGTAATGGACACACACATTTATAAAAGGGCATGTTTAATTCTCCATTTTTAGAGTTGGAATTTCTTAAATGAAGTTAATTTGACTAATCAGTTTAAAGATTTTCTCTTAAAGAACAAATTAGCGTTCCGTTGGCTAAAAATAGCTGTGTGATAATGATGATGATGTCATAGCTCCCACTTCCTCACGTGCTTTTTCTGATCAGCTTTAGAGTTCAATTTAAATTTTGGATGAAAGCAAACCAGTCATGTGACCACTAAAATCTAAACATTTACTTTTGATGCTTATATTGTTTATTATATGTTATTTTTTATGCCTTTGCCTGCCTAGGGACTATGGATGAAAATTAGCTTTGTAGCTATAATCCGGCATATTTACATTTGTTTTGACTGATGTTCATTAATGTGCTTTGTCCCTATTCAAATAAATAAATAAATTAAATTAAATCCCAGTTCCAGATAAATGGGCCGGGTTTTTTGGAGCCATCTGCTTTCTTTGGGCTTATCTTTTCGGTGTGGGGTTCAGCTGTGTCCTTTCACAGTAAAAGAAAATGGCTGACCGTGTTTTATTGCCAGCAGATGCTGTGACGCTCCACCTGAGCTCCATGCCTTCTAGATACATGATCCCCTCCCCAGAGAACAGGATAAGACAGGTCAGTATCACCCTTTATTTTCCATTTCGGTCCAGAGGTGCTGACTCTTTGGACCAACCGATGAAATACTCATGGAAAGTGTTTGTCCCCCCCCATTCTTTCTTCTCTCCACCCTAATCCCCATCACACTGGATGTCTAGAGCACTGGTCCCCAAACCCCCGGTCCCTGGACCGGCCAATCAAGTAATAATGAATTATTTCCATTGTATTTCTTATTCGAGTCTGAATAATCTTTTATTTTGAAAAACGACCGGATTCTCTCGGTTACATCTCGGTCAAAATTGAACCCACAAATTAGCAAAATGAGTAGAAATACAGACGTCTTTGGAAAGTTTCCTTTCGAAAGGGAAAGGTCTAAAGAAGAGACAGAGGAACCCTTGGGTTAAGGGTTAGGGTTAGGAGTTAGGAGTTAGAACATGGAGGCTTTTGACAGACGATAGAAGGAGTTCTACTGGAAACATGGATCTATTCCCACAGACCCAGACTGCTCTGAGTAACAGGCGGCCACGAAACCACCTGGAAACCAAGCATCCGGATTAAAAGACAAGCATCTAAAGGATTCAGAAAGAAAAAATAAAGCTGTACACGAAAACACAGTGGATTCACCTTCAGTATTATATTCGCATTTTAAACAACCCGAGGTGCTCGATGATTGCCTAACAGCCTAGAATGTGTGTTTGTTCCTCTGGGAAGAGCAGAAAAGGAGCACGAGGACAGAGAATGAGCTGAATAAGATGGATTGGAAAAGACAAAAGTCAAACACACCAGGCTAAAGACTCAGTTTGGGCTCTGCTTGTCTAAAACCGATCCAGGGCTCTCCACACAGGCCTCTATGTGCTGTGGAGTGATACGTGGAGCAGGTCTGGGCATGCCCACCGTCTAAGCCCTCAAACCCAGCTCAGATCAGGGTACGAGCACCCAGAGAGAAGCCTTTTCAGTTTCAGACAAAGCTGGAAGGCAGAGCACGATTTCTAGATCTAAATGTCCACTGATTGAGTGCCAACAGTGGCCTCGGTCTCCTGGAAGCGAGTCTTTAGTTTCACAGTCCGAGTTCTGGCAGAAAGGGCTCAGTTTCCACCTTTAAATGCCTAAATACCTACACTGTAAAGGGTTTGGTCTGGTTCGAAAAACCTTCTATTTGCAACAAAGGAAATCATGCTAACATAGTCAACAAATGACACAAAATGTCATAACTGAATTTCTCTATATATTTTTCGGTACACACATATCTATTTGTACATATATAACGACCCTTTCAGACCAATTATGTATGATCAAGCCTGATAGAGCAGATATAACAGTGTTATTACAGTGTTGTTGCAGATATAAAGTAGATATAACAGTGTTATTACAGCGTTATTGAACACATAAAAATATGTAACAGTGTTATTACAGTATTATTGAGATAGTAAAGAGATATAACATTGTTATTACTTATATAAAGTAGCAGTGTTATTATGGTGTTATTACACATATACAGTGATATTACACATATAAAGTAGATGTAACAGTGTTATTACATATATAAAGCAGATGTGACTGTTATTACACGTTTATTACACATATAGTAGATATAACAGTGTTATTACATGGTAATTACACATAAAGTAGATATAACAGGACTTAGCTTTTTCATTGGTTCGCTGCGTTAAATTTATTTTGGACTTATCAGGTCCCAGCTCCTTTACATTGAATTTTTCCACCATTTTCCTTCTCACGAAAGGGTAAAGATCTCACTGAATTATGTGAAAGCTGCTCTTCAACTGCCGTCGCCGTCATCTCTACGTCACAGCCTGACTGACCAATAGCTATACGTCTATGGCTTTGGGGCGCCAGCTCCAGGCGCCCCAAAGCCAATAATTTCGGCGATGCTGATTGGCCAAATATTTATTCATTTTCCCTAGCAACATTTTTCAATTGGTTAGCCCCAAGCGCCCCAGAAGAGAAACTATACGTTCTGTGGGTGGAAATGAATGGTTGAATGAGAGTCAGTTGGTGGAAGTGTTGTTTTAATATTTCATATTACATGTAGCCAGATATTATTAAGTAAAACTGACATTCATAATACTTTAAAAATAAATATATATATTATAACTTTCCCCCTAAACATCTAGGGGGGGCGGCGCCCGAGCGCCCCCTATGGGCCGGCCGCCACTGATTACACGTTTATTACACATATAGTAGATATAACAGTGTTATTAAATATATAAAGTAGATGTGACTGTTATTACATGTTTATTACACATATAGTAGATGTAACAGTGTTATTCCAGTCCCATTTGCTTTTCAGTAGGATGGAAGAAAATCATATTTGTTTCAGAAAAAAGGAAACAAATGGTGGTGGCTCATTGGTTCATTGTGGTTTCTGTTTCTCGTAGCCAGTTGAAGACGTAGAAGAATGCACCTGTCCGAGCTCCGCCCCACCAGGTAGGAGGGATGCTTTTAACTCATTGGCTGCCAAAGACGTCTATAGACGTCCATTCAAATCCAACCGCTGACTGCCAAAGACGTCTATAGACGTCTTTTATGTTTTTCAACGCGAGTGGCTGGGGGACGATCTGCTAAAGCTTGTCCGTAAATATCGGCTTCTAGACAGAGTATGTAGTAACAAATTGACCCTCTAGGGGGCAGTGCCACTTTTGATGGGAGATTAGCATAGACTGTAGGCAAATAAGAAAAAGGGAACGGTTCTATGAGAGAACATGTCGCCGGTGAGACGCAAGTCCAGGAAGAACGGAATAAGGTAGAAACAATTTTTTTTTTCCTGATGAAAGAAGAGAGTCTACTCTTTCTTTTGGTGTGTTCGGTGTTTACATAGTCATAGCACAAACTATTCTGTGGCTCTAGAAAAATCAGTCAAAATGCTGAAAAAAACTCTATGGCAGTATGGGACTCTGTTCTGAAAATGCCTGCCAGTCAATGAGTTAAAGGAGGGGATTTTTAGATATTTAGAGGAGGGGCCTGTTGCCGGGTAGGACTCTGTAACCGTTTCCTCCCCCCCCTCAGACGGCCCCAAAGAGCTGCAGCTGCTGAGCGTCGCCTGCGAAAAGTGCCGGTGCCCGGCCCCGCCCCCGAAGATCAGCGACCTGATCAACGACAAGGACCTGCTGGACTCTCTGCGGCTGAAGCTGGACCCCAGCCACTGCACCATCAAGAACTGGAAGAACTTTGCCAGCCGCTGGGGGATGAGCTACGACGAGCTGGCCCTGCTGGAGCACCGGACCCAGGGCTCGCTGGCCCACAGCCCCACCCAGGAGTTCCTGCTGCGCTACAGCCAGAAGCCCGTCAGCGAGCTCAGCGATCTGTGCCGCCACTACCAGCGCATCGACGTCCTGCGCCTGCTGCAGGCCTGGACCGAGAGGGACTGGCCCTCCCGCTGGCAGCAGGGCCACTAGCTTCCCAATAGGGATGGGACGGTTTCTGAAAACCCTCCGAACCGTTGGGTTGGACTGTCTCGGTTCGGTTCGCGTGTGTTGCATTCGGTGAATCCGTGAATCGAACCGAACCGTGGATTTTGTGAACCGTCCCACCCCTAGTTCCTACTAGGGTTGTCACCATACTAAAGTTTTCAACTCCATAC